GTGTTATTTCCCAGGTCCAGACCTTAAGAAATTGGCAACTTCTACCTCTTATCTCTTGAAATGGTCTCTCTGGGTTCCCTGACCATCAGGTAAGAAGTCTGTCCACCAGAGAGGAGAAATGCTGGGGAGCTCGGTAGCAGATACTCGCTGTGGCCAACAGGTCCTGCTGAACCCATCTTCTAGCCATTCTCACCGCGATGCCAGACATTTGAATGAATGTGAGTGGCTGCCTTGGACCCTCCAGACTAGTCCATCTGCTAGTTGAATATCATGGGGTGACCTTAGTGGCCATCCTGTCCATCCAGCCCAAGCCTCATTCTCAGAAGGGTTGCTTGGGCAAGTCCTGTCTGATTTTCTCACCCACACAGCTGTGAAATATAATAGATGGCTGTTTTAAGCCGCTAAGATTTGAGGTAACTTGGAACATAGCAGTAGATACTGGGTCAGCATGCCAACAGGCATTATCTCATTCAGTCTATTATCTCTGTTTTACAGGCTAGGAAATTTAAGCTCAGAAGGATTGAGTAACTTGCCCAAGGCCTCCCAGAAAGCAGGAGGCTGCACTGGCATTTGAACCTGAATGTAGGAAGTCTGACTCCAGAGCTTCTGTACACCAAACCATATTATACTGCTTCTTGATCAGCCTGTTTGTCCCTCCTGGCAGGAGTGTTGGCATTTGAGCCAAAAACATTACCTTCAACCAACGGACTGAATGACTTCTAGCACCGAGACATTGTACTGTTTGAGAGATATTTAGATAGCAGGGGATGATTTTATTATGTATTTATAGCTAGCATGGAAGTCCACAGTGGGTGCTTAAGAAATGTTTGTTAAACAAATAAACTAACCCATAAAGGAATAAGTGATGGAGAGGCATGGGGAAGTGGGCTAAGAGAAAGGTTTTCCTGCCATCTGGTGGCTACTTCTGGAATAACACTTTTCTCTCTATGGTAAGAGGAAAATGGATGAGTCCTTTTGGGGACCCTGGCAGTGTCTGAGATCAAGCTGCATCATTCCAGCCAGGAGTAGGGCAGGATAGGGGTGAGGTGTCCCCTAGGAGCCAGATTTATTTCCTATTCCAGTATCTGTGATCCTTGACAGTGAGACAGGAAGAAGAGCTTCCCTGCCACTAGCTCATTCCATTCTTTATGGTGCTGAGCATTCAATGGGTACTTAATAAATATATACTTGGGACTGAAATTTGAGAAAAGAGGTGATGTCAGATCCCATAATTCATCTTTACCTTCTACTGGATTTGCAAGAGATATCTACCTTGAAGGGAGGGGCAGTTCTCTCAGAACTCAGAACATGCTTATTCTGGTGGAACCCATCTTCCTGGCACCCTCAAATCCCTGATTCTTCCTCCTCATTCTCAGACCTCTGGACACTGATGTCTTTCCAGGCCTCTACACCTCCTTGAGGCCTCATACACCTCACCCTTACTTACCAAGCTGACAGGCATAGCTTTTCCCTGTCAGGCCTGGTAAGAGGACACCAAACACCATCATCACACCAGATGTCCTCACCTGGACTAATCAGACGATAAAGGACCTCCCTCAGAAACTTGTTGCCAAGATGATAGATTAGATGTATAGACTGGCTGGATCCCTACAAGTGTGTGCATTAATACCTAGAAGAATTCCTGGGAAAATGCATGTATGTCCCTCCCTACCCTCCCCAGCCAGCTAGCCATGACCCCACAGCTATCCTGTCCACTCAGCCCAGCCCAAGCTTTCCTCCCAAAGCTTCCCTCAGTTTCCCTGGCTTCCCTCATCCCTCTCTCTGATCCGAAAAGCAGGTAAGAAAGGCAAGAAGGTTTGGTAAGAACAGACACTTTATTGTACACTATGGTGGGAGAGAGAGGAAGGAGGGGCTCTGGGGTGACAGTGCCTCATCCTCTCTCCTGGGCTGAGTGGGCCTGACCCAGGGCTCTGATGAGCCATGGGACACATGGACTTGAATGTTTCTGAACTTAAGCCAGGACCCAGTAACAGCCTGGTATGTGATCTGTGTGGAGCACAGCTTTCAATGAAAAGGGGTCCTGGGCCCTCCTGCTCCAGCCTTAGCTATTGGGTCTCAGTGAGGGGGCCAGAGCCTCCAATGTTTCAGGGCCTGGTGATACTCAGGGAGTCAGGTGCTTCTAACCCGTTCAGTCTGTGTCTCTTTTCACAGTGGAGAGTACTGGGGGAGGGGTGGCTGTGAGGAAGGGCAGAAGAACAGCCCCCTGCCTGTTAATACTGCAGTCCTGAGCAGGGGCTGGGACCATGGCTTCCAGTCCCCAACCTCAGGGCCTATGCAGGCTGACTGGGGAGGGCTTCTCCTGGCACTAGGAAAGCAGCAGCCCCTGCACATTTATTGCTGGAGGGCAGAAGCCAACCTCACTCACATTAACTTGTGTGCCCTACCCATCCATCGCTCATCTGGGCCTCAGGCTTCGTGTTGCCTCAGTGGAGAGGGGGGAAGGCTCCCTGAGCAAGAAGCTGGTGATTGGGGCTGGGCAGTAGGCAGGGGTAGGGGCCTAGGGCACTCTTTCAGAAGTGCCCTTTCCCTGTCCCCAACTCAGTGACTCACAGCCCTGGTGTCCCTTCTGCCTTCTGGTAGGCACTGCATGGACAGCACCAAAGCCAGTGGGGGTGGGGATCGTGTGCAGGGATGTGGGGCTCTGCTCCTCCAGGCTTCTGGGCTGGATCTTCTATTATCAGGTGATCCCACCTGCCCATGACTCCCCTGAGGAGTGAGCAGAGGTGTCAGAAGCACAGGGGAGGGCAGGCATTCCTTTCTGGATATCATCAGGACTGTTTCAAGGGCAAGTACAGAACAGAGGAGCTGTGAGATACCCTCTAGGGGTCTCACCATTTTAAGAAATCCAGTACATTTCCTCTGGAAGAGCTTTGTGACTTGAAAATAAATTTGGGGACTTCCCCCTCCCCAACACCCTCCTTTCCTATGTCTGGCAAACCCAGTGGTATGAAGGCAATGAGTCACCAGCAACAAATGCATTCCTTTCCCCTACAGCAGGGGGCTTCCTGAGGGACCCTGCCCTGAGACCTGGCCCAACAGAGCTGACAGGAGGAGGAAGAGGCAGAGGGAGGGCAGCGTGTCTTCAGGAAGGTGGTGACCACTGGGAGTCACAAGCCAGCACCCTATACACACCCACACCCACATGTGTGCACACACCACACACACACACACACACAAACACCCCAAGCTCCAGGCCCTAGGTGTAACACACAGCAGAGGCAGCTGGGACAGGGCCTGGTCTATAGCAAAAAGCTACGAGGACACTACTGAGCCCACACTCAGCCAGCAAACAGCCCAGCTCAGCCCCTTCCGTAGGCTCACGGGCCGGGGCCTGGCCCAGCCACACGCTACAAAATTAAAAATATATCAAATATACAATGAAAATAGATCTGTACAGCACTGAGGATGAAAATAGTCCACCAGCCACAGTATAATATTGGGTTTGTCATTTAACAGCATTTACACCCACATGTACAGATTGAATATACAATAGAAATAGAATATATAGGAGAGTATATATAGTAGACTGTCTCTCCTGGGGCCTTGCTTTTCCTGTTGCTAATTCTGCTTGGGATCAGGCATGGGGCCAGGTAGGAGGTGTTGTTAGGTGAGGGGGCCTACGGCAGGATGTTGTGCCCCAAAAGCTCATCTGCATGGGGAGATGTGGGTCTCTTATCCTCCCCCTAAACTTTCAGGAAATGACTTGTGGGAAAAATGGGAGGTATGGGGGAGGATGAGTAAGGGAGTTGGCCTGGTGGGGTTGGGCCTCCCCAGCTGGCAGGGTGGGTGGAGACAAAGGGACTCAGGGGTAAAGGAGGGCATAGTCTGTTTCTTCTGTTTTTTTGGGACCCTTTGTGAATGTGTCCAGGTCTAGCACTGTTGCAGCTCCTGCCCTGCCCCAAGAGCTCTCCAAGATGCAGCCAGTCTGCCTGCCTGCCTTCCTTTTCTCCATCCATCCATCCATCCACCCATCCATCCATCCATTTTTCACAGTCATTTATCCTCAGGTCGGTTTCTGAATATCCCCAGGCTGTGCTCTGAGGACAGCTGCTCCTCCAGGGTCTCCCCTGGAAGTAACAGTGGTTGGGGATGCAGCCATCAGTTGTAGCCTCCCCCAGGGCCCAGGCCTCAGGAGATAGGCTCATCCCTTGACCTTGGCAGCCTTCAACGTCCACAGCACTGCCTCTGGTGCTGCCTGCCATAGGCCCAGGAGGCTTAGGAAAGGCTTCTAAGGGGTTTGCACACGACATGCACACTGGGAGGGGAGGGGGGAAGCTGTGCTTGTGCAACAAGGAGTGAGTGGTGGCCCAAAGGGGCAGTGAAATTATCTGTCTTTCCCCCAGAGTGAGGCTTCTTGGGGATGAGCTCCTGAGCCCCAGGGCCCCTGTTCCAGGGGAAAAGCTGCCACTAGAGAGAAAATTGGGCCGCAGGTGAGAAGAGGGGGTGTGTGCTTCACAATTATGCTCCGAACCATCTAAATTATTCTGGGAATCATCAATTTGTGCTCTGGAAACCTCTCTTTGCACTGTCCCATTCTCTCTCCAGAAGAGAGGTAGAGGCCACCACTCTAGGATCTGGTGGGGGTTGGGGTGAGGCAAGGAGATAACTAAGCCCTAATCAAGATGGGGAAGCATTCTGGGTCCAGTCACTGCCTTCCCAGGCAAAATGCAAGAGCACAGCCCATCCACCCCAGGCAGAGGCAAGTCCTGGGGGAAGATGCCACCGGACTTTGATGCCTTTGAAGATGCCTTTGAAGATGCCACCAGGAGCCCAGGGCAGAACAGCTCCCTTAAATTGAGGCCCACCTCAGGAAACAAAACTTGGGGACTCTCGCATGTCTCTCCCCCAAGTCTAAGCCCCAAACCCTGGCACACCTGTCCCTAGCCACAGCTTTCACTTGGGGAGTTGACTGAGCTAAAGTTCACACCTCATTCCTGGCCTCAATACCTCTCCCCACCACCACAGGGCAGGACAGGGGAACCCCTGAGCCCTAAGAACTGCAGGTGGCAAGTCATAGGGAGAGAGGGAGGGCTGAGTGACTCCTACAGTGGCCACTTGGAGTCTCCCTGCCCTGGGAATCAGGACTTCTGTGGTGTTCCGATTACGCAGCTGTAGTCTGGTGAGAGGCTCTCAGAGGGATAGTTGGGTTGGGGGCCTGACTGGGGGACAGAGCTGCTACTGCCCCTGTTCAAGCTGAGGGAACAAGGTCTGCTGGAACTTAAGTGGAGAATGAGGCAAGGCAGACCCTTTCTCCTTGGGCAAAGGGCCTGGCCTGGGCTCAGGGGCCACTGTGGAGGAAGAGGCCAGGCCTGGACAAGTGGGCAGGTTGGGTATGGGGGAGAGGCATGTGGGGTCAGGGCAGTGGTCACAGCTCCGACTCAGGGGTGCTGGCCAGGAGATAGCCACTCCCATAGCGTCCGTTGGGGTTGCCGCTGGTTTCCAGGGGTGACGTGCTGCCGGGTCCCAGGTAGGAGCGGTGAGTGGGCATGGGGGAGGGCGCCTCGCTGGGCACTTTGCTGAGGATGAAGCGAGTCTCGTCGTTCTCCTCCAGGTTAGAGATGTCCTTCATCATGCGGCCCTTCTTGTAGGACACCGAGAGAGTGTTGGAGCCGTCGGAGAGCAGGTGGAAGTGCCGCAGGATGAACACCACAGGAATGGGCAGGGTTGCCACAGCGATGAGGGTGATCAGGATGGCCATGGCCCAGTTGGGGAAATACAGGTAGCGCTCGGCAGCCTGGGGATGGGCAGCGGTGAGGGCTGCAGCCATGCTACAACAGGCCTTCCCCTCCCAGCCCTCCAGGTCCGCCTCCTGTCCTCACCCACATCTATGTCTCTCCCCTCCTACCATCCTGGCTGGGTACCAGCAGAGATAGTGGTCATCAGGCATTGCCACTTGAGTTTAACTGGTCACCTTGGTTAAGGGGTCTCACTTTCTACACCTGTAAAATGGGCAGGTAATTCCACTCCACAGGTATGAGAGAACATAAGTTAGAAAAAGTGGCGGCTCGGGGCCTGTGGCTCAAGTGGCTAAGGCGCCAGCCACATACACCTAAGGTGGTGGGTTCGAATCCAGCCCAGACCCGCCAAACAACAATGACGGCTACAAC